AAAAAAAAAAAAAAAAAAAAACGAACTTGGTGTAAAATAAAACAAAAAATATATTTATATATTTTTTTTTTTTGGACAGACGAAACTGCTTTAATGCACGTATTTCACTCACCTGAATAGTCTGTGTATTGTCTTTTTTTAACGTTTCCTTTTTTTTTTTTTTTTTCCCCTGGCAAATACACACATGTATATATGCCCATATGTTTGCTCATACACACACAGGGGTGTGTACGTCCCCGGCGCGCGTTCACGTGTGTACACCTGAACCAGTGGGGAAGCGACTCATTGGTGACTGGGCACTGATGTGTAAACCACTGGTGAATACGCACTCACGAATGAGCACCACCTAACCGGTGTGCGCGCGCTCATTCCGCTCTCAAGTTGCGCCCCCATCTGTGTATTTCAAGTTTGCTGCATCTCTTTTCCCATCAGACTTTTTCTGCACTCGCGCTTTAATGCTTCCTCGCATTATCACTTGGTGATACTCCTCTGGGGCGCTCTTTTGCGATGTCCCTTCACGTGTATCCCTGTATGCCCCCCTCAGCCGAATAACCCTGGGGCAAAAGTGAAGGCCATGAGTTAACTGCGCCTGCTGTCAACTCTATGAGTGATACAACCTCGTCGCTCGGCACGTCCCGACCCCATGAAAAAGGCCATACTCCCGTTCACTCTCCCCCTCGCGTGCACTGCGATGGCAGTGCATAAGCGCGCATCACTTCTGGTCACTCCGCTAACGGACCAGTGGTATATACACATGCACACACGCGCGCATACAGGTGCATAGCGCCGAGCGTGTTTCCACATGCGTACACGTGCACACCGTTCAAAGTGAATCACTCTCTGAATGACTCTCAAGGGTTTGTCACACAACGCGGCCTGTGTGACCCCTTCACAAATTACGCTTCCCCATCAGCTCCTTTTTGCTGTTCTCTCAAATTTTTTTTTTTTGTTCTTGCATTTACCAATTGAATACGCATCGTTTCGAGGCACGAACAGTCCAATGTCGAGCACATGATGGAGCAACCCAAAAACTTCCAGCATAAACCAAACGGCTGGCTCAACCGAACTGGCTACGTTCGATAAGTTCACTACCTCAACACGATTACTCTCACTTGACAATTCGGTTAAGCGCATTGTGCAAAGGGGAAAAAACATCATATATTGGAGCTTCCTTCCATATTTGACCATCACATTTACTTCATTACTGAACCGTAGCACAAATGTGTGCACAAGGATACTTCCTTTCTTGCACACAAATGTGTGTAACCGTCCCGATTGTACTTTTCACCGCGTAGGAAAAAAAAAAAAAAAAAAAAAA